ATAATGTCCGGGGGGGGGAGATAGTGGTTCGAATTAAAAGACCCGCCCATCGACGCTTTGCGGCGCGCTCGAAGGCGATTCGAGGCCACTGATGTGTGATCGGCCCTAGCTGAAGGAAACCTGACTTGCGAACTCACCACTGCTCTACCGAGACACGAACTGTTGTCTTCCAGATAGTACAAGCTTAAGAGCTGAGGGTTAAGGGCCGTGCTGTTAGGCGTGATTTACGCCAAGTTAGTCCTTTCTTTCGCGCGAGTCATGCCACGAGGTCTTGGCTGCATCTCAACCAGCATTGGCGCATTGCCGGTTGATGATTCGTCCGTTGGCTCTCGTGATCGTGCTGCGCCTGGGTGAGTCATCCAGGACTGCGCAGACGTCGCGCAAAAGCAAAGTTAACACGCAAGCGGGTGCGACAAATCGGTCGTGTGGACAGTATGACGGAGAACAAAACACGCTTGGAGTGCGTCACGTAGGGTCGAGGGTGTGTATTGTGGTCTATTTATTGAGAACCAGAGTATGCTTAGGAACTGGCTGACAAACCTTTGCAAAATTGCTGTGCCGTTATGGTCCACTTTATCAGTGGATTGGTCCCCCCAGCAGGGTTGGAGGCGCAGTGTCTGCTAACCAATTTTCTGCAAGATGGAACCATTGAGATAGAATGCAGCCATGTGCTTGAAGCCTGCTGGGGATCAAGGCGGTTGCCTGGTCTACTGAAAGCGCCCACAAAGAACCTGCATTTCATACTCCAATGGGCAATTAGGCAGGCAAATTTCCAATGTCTCCAAGGGCAGTCCCATACGGTCACGCCTAGCGTTATTGTTATTTCAAGTCTTGAAAGGAAACTGTCATTGTTGTGGAAAACCTACGTAAGTTGAAGAGGTTCAGAAGTAAGCACGAAGAAATACAAGGAGTTGGTTCTCTTGGATGCCCCCACGCATAAGCAGGAGGAGGGTTCCGCTCGGAGGTCCCTGTGTCGGAAGACAAATAGGAAACTCGTGGTACGTTATATTCTTAGGCCCTATGGCGACTAAGTGAAGAAGAAGAAGAGTCGAGCATCGGAGCACTTCGTTTATTGTCCTGAGCTTTCAGACTCGTGCAGGAGTCCATCATCAGAGGTAATAGCAGCAGAACAAGCGACAGTTATAAGGCATGTAGGCCAATTATCGACCGACGGCGCAAGGCTGAAGATGACTACGCAGGGCTCTGTACGCCGGCGCCAGATCGATAAATCGATTGACCGAGTTCTCATCCGAGGCCCGGGCTTCGAACAATTCTCGGCCTGTTTTGTTTCCGGAGTAGGCGACCATTTTGGTGGCTGCGAAGGTAAACTGTTCCAGTCAGACAAACTAACTACGGAACCCGTTTTCCAGTGATGGTGGTAGTGCTCGATGATTATGTGACTCGAGTTCAAACCCTCAGACGTTGGGGCATCGCTATATGATGACGTCAAATAAACCAGAAACGGCAATTCTGCTCTCTAGATCCTTGTCAGTCAAACATCCCCCTAAATCAAACATTTTTGCCTATGCATGGCTCCCCTAATTACAGAGAGGCCAGCTCGTGGATGTATGGTAGAACGTTTGGCTTAACATCCAATAAAAAAGCCGGGATTCGGAGGCCAGGTTCTCTAGGCCTTAAGCTGACGAATGGTCAACTGACGATGACTAGCAAACCAGAAGTAGTCATCTCGATCTTCTCCCTTTCTTTTTGATAATCCTACCCTTCGCTGCGTCTAGTTGTGCGGTCTTGGGTGCACACGGAGGCAGATAGCAGCTCGGTCGGCTGAACACATCCCAAGGATTTTCGAAAACAGACAACAGGGCTCGGAGAAGTGGAGTAGCATGACATCGGAGAGACCGAAAGACTGCTCCGAACGCGACAGCGGTGCGGGGAAATGACGCCAACTCGCGAGTCACGGTCCATTCGACGAGACCCGGCCGCACATTCGAGTTCGATAATGCCCGAATTCTCGCGAGAGGTAATAATTGCGTGGGCCGCGAGGTGCTTGAGTCATGGTTCACGGGACCTCAGTCTATCAACAAGTGCAACGACATCACTTCTCCATATTCGGTGCTGAGCCAAAATGATTAACCACTCGGGGAGCGCGCAGCCCGGTGAGCCAGGTGGCCGAGCAATCATCACTCCAACATCCAACACGGGTGATGAGATTTCAGCAATTAACAACTTGCATGTTGGCCATCAGACAATTAGCGCACCAGCGGGCAACTATCCTCGATGAAGGGGAGAACCGTCGGTTACCATAGGTATGCAGTAGCATAGTGAGCGCATGGTGTAAATACTGCAACCCCTTGTGTATGAATTACCGGTGTCTGGTGCTGTCTGTGATGATGGGCTCGAGAGTGAATCCGAAACGTTAGGCGAATAAAACTTTTGTCTCCGTGATTGCATCTACTTCGCACCAACTACTCCATGGAAATCGCATTTTGACTTGTATTGGCAGTAGCAAGACACTGGTCACATCAACTTTCGGACCCTGTCTGAAGAGGTAATTTGTGAGGGATTTACTCCAAGTTCGTGCATTAATTCTCTCGGAAATTAAACAAGGCAAACTGGTCATACTGCCCATCTAAGGCTGGCAATTGCCATCTTTTTTCGCACGTGAACGACTAATAGCGCAAGCGCAGTCGGGGTAGCATCAGTACGAGTGGAGAAACCGGCGCCGGGCAGAGAGTCGAGTTGCACGGTTAACTCCACGCAGCCTGGGCTACTAAAGGGGTGCTAGTTTTCCCTTTTCATCACCTCTTAAGCCAGATCTGTTCGCACGTCTGGCTAATATTTCTGGTTGTTTGCTCCTGGCTGGTTCTGCAAAGGCCATCTGCAATTGATTGAGTTGTCATGACGTTCGGTGACGCCATGATGTTTCACTTCCTCTTCAAGTTTTGGTCCTGTTCAGGTTCTCCAAGGAAAGTAATGTTTTAAATTATTCTTCACACATCCAACAGATTGTTGGACCAACACCGAATATTCGTTGCTAGCGCATTAGCAAGCATCGGCAGGAGGTTAGCCTCATAGGTATCACTTTCGATAACATTCGACAGTTCGGCCCCTGCTAACGATTATGTCCGCCGTGGGGCCCACAGCACGGTGGATGGAGGGACGGCGACCTGCACATAGCGTTAATTTTACAGTAATAGCGAACTTGCGCAGCGTCTATCGCACTCGCTCCTGCCTCACCCACCTGAGTCCCGTGCCAAAAAAGCCAAGAAGACCGGAGCTGGGATCAGACGTGGCGGCTGACGAAGTTAAACAACCACTCTGCGCGTGCCAAACACACGCGCCTGTTCCACGCACGGTGAACCGGGTTTCCACAGAAACAAGGGCGGCTCGGATCCAAGCAGAGTGGAGCTGCCACAGAGGTCCGTATTTGGAAGGAGCCATTGGCAGTATTCCAGGCCACTGCTGTTTGCGCACCCTGATAGTTGTTCAGGTTGTTTATGGTGAGGAATACGCGCTGAGTGCCGTGGGGTCGCAGTCCCTAGATTGGACTTCATTCTCTCTTCCAGAAACCAATCCGCTACTTGAGTCGAACAGCCATTTGGCGCGGGACCCCCCGCCACACCCATCATGTGAGGCGTCTATCATGGATGCACAGTCCGGGTAACTTGTTACATGCTCTACTGTGGCTGTCGTGCTGGCCCAACACGTCTCTGGCGTGGACCGTGGAATCCACAAATTCCCCCATGGCTAATCTTATTAAGGGGCTTTTCATATGATTGCACATGTGTGTAGTCCTACCGAAATGGAGACGTCCCACCTCCCCCTAAAATGAGTTTCTGTTAAAATAAATCGACCACCTCCCGCTGCGATAAAATCGGCAAGGATCAGTTACGCCGTCCGGCTCTAAAGTGAAAGCGCAGTGTGGAAACTGAAAGTAAAGTAAGTCGAAGGAGGATGCTGAAATAATTTAGTGGGAAAGTAGTCGAAACAGAAATGGAAAAGGGCAACCTGATGTCTCGGTTTAGAGTTAAGGTTGACTTTAGGGTTTGGATTAGTGTCAGGCTCAAAAGTGACTTTAGAGTTAAGACGAGGGTTCGGTCTACGGTTAGGGCCAAGGTTTCGATTGCGGTTTAGGTTTACGTTCAATGCTAAGGTTGGAGTTAGGGTTGGGTTGCAGTTAGGGTTAGGGTTACGGTTAGGGCTAAGGTTAGGCATAGGGCTAGTGTTTGTTTTAAGGTTTAGGTTTACTCCTGAGGTTACGGTTAGGATTAACGTTGGGTTTGGGATATTGCCGTCCCGCGTGTTCTGTCAGCCAGGTTTTTTTCTGAGATCCTAGGCTTCCTTCATTCTCGCAGCAGAATCGCCATACGTCAGGTTGCTCTTTTCCGTTTTAGTGATACGATTCATCCTTCTGGCAGCACAGGTGTAAGTCTGCAATTGTAGACAACTCGAGATTCCCAAATTCAAGATTCAGAGAGACCAGAGTCGACTGGACGAATGTTATTGTGTCGAGGGAGCGTGCAATCGGCCCAGCAGGCAATTGCAATAATTGTCATTACCATCCGAGTGCAAGGTATTCAGTTGGTATCCCCGACGTGAAGTACACGTTGGTGCGCCTAGGCTTCACCCATATGCAACCAATCAGTGAAGGGTGCAGCCTCTATTGGCATCAGGCACTCGCTACGCCAGTGCCGAGTCCTGCACGGCGAGAGCAATCGACTGATACGGCGGGGGCGTTAAGTGGACCGAAGTCAGACTGAGTAAGCAACTGCGCTGACGATCGAGGCGGCAGACTGTCAGACAGGTATTGGCTAAAAGCCCAGGCACGTGTTTCATCGATTTTCTGCCGCCACGTGGGGATAGATCAGTCTCGTCCCCTACGGAAGAGGATTTTCAACGACATTTATTGCCTTAGAAATGAAGTACAAGACCAGCATGTCTACACTGAAGACTCGGCCTAACTATATCGGGAGTGCATGATACTCCGAGGAGACATTCTAAGGGGATCAGCAGTTTGAGTGGTTGCTGTGATAACCTGGATGTCACCAGGGTACTCTGACAAGAACCGAAATCGATGCCGCAGAGACGTCAACTGATCTCCGATCAATATATCCCTTCTTTTTCTTCTTCTTCTTCTTCTTCTTCTTCTTCTTCTTCTTCTTCTTCTTCTGCTTCTGCTTCTTCTTCTTCTTCTTCTTCTTCTTCTTCTTCTTCTTCTTCTTCTTCTTCTTCTTCTTCTTCTTCTTCTTCTTCTTCTTCTTCTCGCCAACGCATTTTCTGGCCGCAGAGGTGATTTTCTGGTCACTTGCGCACCTGCTGAAAAAGAAACAGTTGGAATAAGCCCCGCATTTACGAAACCCCAACAGGATGATTCGGGCCCCTGCTGTCGAGCAGCATGTGGAAGGAATAAGAGAACGTCTCCTGCCAGCTAAAGCTGATCTTATGCTTTATCTATGTCGTTTTGGTATATAGTCAAGTCTTCGTGGGGGGTTTCGCTGGTGGCAAGACGAATGACTGAACAGAAGAGAACTTCTGTTTGAACACTCCGCTGTCTGCTTGCGTGACGTCGTTACTCTGTCATCAGTCTTGCGTGCCAACGGCCCTCACAAAGTCCTCTCACATGAAGAGACGACGTGGGGGTCTGTTTAACAAATGTAAGACACTCATCCTTAGTCAGGACTCTCCGGCTTCGTCTTTGTCCCTTTGGCCCAAGAAAGAGCTCCTTCTTTGGTTAGGGTTATGCGAACGTTCTCTTTAGGAACAGTTAGATGATTTCGAGAAGATTTGAAACCCAGGGAGATGTAGAATACAACCACTAGCACTGCGCTCCGTGATTCGTCAAGCGCTTTGGATAAAGTGAATAAAAGACCATTTTAAAAACGGACGAACAGTAATATTTATTCTCCGGAAACAATAAATTAGAAACGCTGTCCACAAGCGTTTTTTTCTCGGTGTTTTCGAAATTCATGCGTACGAATAGTTCGACCGTCGTTGCTGGCTATGACCACCGTGTGTTTCACAACAAGGCAAAGCAGGGGATTTAGTTTACAGTGGATTTAGACTTGCGCAGCACCTACCGCGCTCTCTCCTCCTATCCAATCTGTGCCCGGTGTCAAGACAAAGTCAAGAAGATCGGAGACGAGGGAGGGCGCAGGCGGATGGCGCAGCTGAGCCCGCACCTTGGCGTTCCACTCCACACCCCCTGAGTATTACTTACCTTGTGACCCCTCACTTTTTCTGCTTTGCTCAACAAACCTATGCTGATCTTAAAACAAGCCCTCCGAATGCCCTCTTCTGCTGCCGGTGTTTCTTATACCTTTTTAGTAAATATTATCATTAAAGGGCATTTTAAAACGGTCAGGCAGGTTGCTGGTCGAATTCTGGATGACGTTGCCCATCCCCTACATTCTGAACTCATATCTGCGAAGTCTTTACACCCCATGCGCCGTGGCTTTCGACATATCCCTTGCCGTATCAGCGTTCTGTGTTACCATCCCGGGCACATGTGAAGAGACTGAAATGCAGAAACTAAGAGTCAAGATGTCCCCGTAGTAGTTGTTCCTTTCTGTGTAAACCTTTCTGACTCTTAAGGAATTTCTTAACCTATATTTTGTCCACAGTGAATGCCCCCCCTTTCGCCCTTTACTGAAAATTCTGAATCTATTCTTTCAAAATAAAACGAACTCCTCTCTCTCTCTCTCTCCCTCTCTCTCTCTCTTACTCAAGGTCTGTTTGTCGCAAATAAAATCTACCCATACCAACTTGCACACGGTTCAATCTTCTCCACTAAGCGGAGGTTCTGCTAGACTTGGATTATATCTCTAAATATTGCCTTCTTTACTTTGTATTCTCCCTGGGTCCCATCAATTTTCCTCGTCGTCTTCTTCTTTTTCTTCTCATTTTCCTCGTACTTTTTTCTACTCATTATATTCTTCCTCTCAATTTATTCTTTTCGTTTTTTCTCTCCTTTTTGTTTCCTTATTCCTTTTATTGTTTTTCATCTTATTGACTTCTTCTTCTTCTCGCCAACGCATTTTCTGGCCTCAGAGGTGAATTTCTGGTCACCTGCGCACCTGCTGCAAAAGAAACGGCTGAAATAAGTCCCGCATTTACGGAACCCTTACAGGATGATGCGGCCCCCTGCTGTCGGGCAGCGTGTTGAAGGAATAAGAGAACGTCTCCTGCCAGTTAAAGCTGATCTTATGCTTTGTTTATATCGCTTTGGTATATAGTCAAGTCGTTGTGGGGGGTTTCGCTGGTGGCAAGACAAATGACTGAACAGAAGAGAACTTCTGTTTGAACACTCCGCTGTCTGCTTGCGTGACGTCGTTACTCTGTCATCAGTCCTGCGTGCCAACGGCCCTCGCAAAGTCCTCTCGCATGTAGAGACGACGTGCGGGTCTGTTTAAAAAATGTAAGACACTCATCCTTAGTCAGGACTCTCCGGCTTCGTCTTTGTCCCTTTGGCCTAAGAAAGAGCTCCTTCGTTGGCTACGGTTATGCAAAAGCTCTCTTTAGGAACAGTTAGATGATTTCGAGAAGATTGGGAACCCAGGAGATGTAGAATCCAACCACTAGCACTGCGCTCCGTGATTCGTCAAGCGCTTTGGATAAAGTGAAGAAAAGACCATTTTAAAAACGGACCGACAGTAATATTTATTTTCGGATACAATAACCTAGGAACATTGTTCATAAGCCCGCTATTTCAGTTTTTCTGGGTGTTTTCGAAATTTCTGGGGTACTGATAGTTCGACCGTCGTTGCTGACTACGTTCACCGTGTGCTTCACAGCAAGGTGAAGCAGGTGATTTAGTTTACAGTGCATTTAGACTTGCGCAGCACCTACCGCACTCTATCCTCCTCCACCATCTGGGCCCGGTGTCAAGACGAATTCAAGAAGATCGGGGACGGGGGGCGCAGTCGGATGGTGTATATGGGCCCGCACCTTGGCGTTCCACCCCACACCCCCCTGAGTACTACTGACCGTGTGACCCGTCATTTTTTCTGCATTGCTCAACAAAGATATGTTAATCTTAAGGCAAGCCCTCCGAATGTTCTCTTCTGCTGCCGGTGTTTCTTATGTCTTTTTAGTCAATATTATCATTCAAGGACATTTAAAACGGTCAGGCAGTTTGCTGGTCGAATTCTGGATGACGGTCCCCATCCTTGCGAAGTCTTCCCGCCCCATGTGCCGTGGCTTTAGACTTATCTCTTGTCGTACACCAGTATATCAACATTCTGAGTTGCCATTTCTGACGCGATATCTTACGTGTGAAGAGACAGAAATACTGAAGCCAGGACTCGAACTGTCCTCTTAGTCGGCGTTCCTTTTTGTGTAAAAATTCTTGACTCATGAGTACTTTATTTGATTCATTTTCTGTCCACTGTGGATGGAGCCTATTTTCTGACGAAAATCTTGAATTTATTATGGTCGGATGCGGTTATGTAGCCCCACCTGAAGTAAACAAATCCCAGCCACTTGTGATTCGGGACCGGTGGTAATAGGCGACGAGGTCAAGTATTTGTACGCAAAATAAAAGCTATTGGGAATGCGCAGTTGTGAATTAAATGGTTGAGAATTAGTTGCGCTAACTCCTAACCCCAACCCCAACAGTATTGTGTCCATCAGGTGGGGCTACCAAGCCACCTCTTACCTTTATTATTCCAAAATAAATCGAATTCGCCTCCCTCCCTCTCTCTCTCTCTCTCTCTCTCTCTCTCTGAAAACCGAATTGCGGACTATGTAGGGAACAATTCGCCACCGCTTCTCGAGCGTAGGCATAAAAGATGCCAGAACACAGTCCCATCACTGCGTGATGCTTCCTCCGTCTTCTGGTTAGGCACTGAGGCGGCACTGAGACCCCGTCTGTGAAATCCGAGCTCAAGCTTATTAGCTCAAAGTAAATTAGCCTCTCAGCGCCCTCCTCTCTCTCACCCCCTCCCCTCCATTGCTAATTTACTGTTGATGAGCTCGAATTTATGCAAATAATCAGGTCTGCTATCGGCCAAAAGTTACGTTCCGCCGAAACTCCCTCCCGCTCTCCCTTCCCTCCCGTCCGGATTGACGCGAACGAAATATCGTGTGAACTTGGGGGGGGGGGGTGGGGGAACAAGACCTCGCATGTTGTAGCATCGCGTATTGCAGCAGTGATTTAAGAGTATCAAGCGTGAGAGACATGTGGTCTGACATCCCCATCGATTGGACGGCCAAGCCATGAGGGCTGGAATGCGACAGTGAGCGGCCGTGCATCCACTCAGTTCTCCTGAATTTCCCTCCTTCACAGGGCTCAGCCGCCTTTTTCCTTGCTTGCGTCACAGAGTAGGTCAGAATTTATCGCGTCCAATATCTCCTGTTTAAATCGCAAAACAAATTACCGCCTGCTTGGGTCGGCGACTGCTTAACTGGTAGGAACGGTACAAGTCACACAAAGGCAGGTACGATCAGAAAAAATCACCCCTTCGACAATCACTCCCTCCCTTGCCGCATCAGCGTTCTGTGTTACCATTGCGGGCATATGTGAAAAGACTGGAATACAGAAACTAGGACTCGAAATTTCCCCGTAGCAGTTGCCCCTTTTTGTGTAAACCTTTCTAATTCTTGAGTAATTTGTCAACCTATATTATGTCCACAGATAATGCCCCCCTTTTGCTGAAATTTCTGAACCTATTCTTCGAAAATAAAGCGAATTTCTCTCACTCTCTCTTTCTCTCCCTAGGCCTTTTTGCCGAAAATAAAATCTACCCATATCGACTTGTACACGGCTTTGATTACATCTCTACGTACTGCCTTTTTAATTTGTATTCTCCATGGTTACCATAATCTTTCAACTCTACCAGCCGGGCTTCTGCTCAGGACGCACCATTGCAAGCACTCATAAGGATACTTCTTCTTTGGGTAGCATAGGTGTGTACCCAGTGAACTCAGGGTGCATCGCTGCACAAAAGAACCGGTGATGCACACCCTGCGTCTGCCCGCCAGCTCGGCTGTCACGGACCAAACCGTGATGCCACTCCGAGTAAAATGTGAAAATGTGACTTTAGGACAAAGTGATACCATACTAACAGCACAGGTACTAGCCAAAAGCGCATACACGCGTGTTTCGCCGGCACTCTGCCGCTGCCTGGCGCACCTGCGAGAGGTTCGGCTCGCCAGTGGGTCTCCCCCCGGCATTCCCTGTCTGCTTTCTGGTAGATACCCCAATCTAGGCATTGTCGCTTTTTAACTTACTCAGAAATTATCTACGAAGTTGGAGTAGACCAGTATATTTAAAATCCATGGGCTCAGACCGCTGGCTCTTTCTAACATGAAGAAGAAAGGTCCATCCTCGGTTGCTGAGCTTGCCTTCCTAATCTTCTTAGCCCGCATGGAAGTTTCTGGCCAGGTGATATTAATAAATGGGGATAGTATACGAATACATACACCTCTTCCCTCAGCACTCTGACGCGAGTCCACCTTTAATGGATGGGGTCTTGACAGCCATACCCAGTCATTCTGTTTCCGGGTCAGTTACCTGATCCCCTAATGCGGGCAGCACTTTCTTTAGGGGGTTGCGCGGCGATTTATTGGCTACTTCTTATACTGTGCGGGGTTGCATTCAGAGTCATCTTGCGTAAACATGATTTTTTGGCTTTCTACCTGATTGACACCGTATTGTTCGCTCCTTGAAAAGGCTTCACTAAAAATGCCAACAACTGGTGGAGGAGTATTACAAGCCAGGACATGGCAAACTTGAATGACCATTTCCGGTCTGTTCGCTGTCCTCAATCAATCCCACCTCTGTTTTCCCGGGCAGTCGACGACTGAAGATAAGCCGGACATGACGATTATCATTTTTCCTTGTCTTGGTTAGTAAAACTGCTCCATCAGCGATTTAAACATTTCACTGCACCTCCATCACATGTCAGGCTGTCTAGCAGCTGGGTGGCGCCTGTGATAACGCAACACAAGTAAGAGGGGGGGGGGGAGTTAGGCGCGGAGGTTTATGGGGGTCTTTTCAGGAATCCAGATCTCAAGCAGCCGTTTCCCGTTCTATTATCTGCGTGTCCGTTAAATTGGAATTTTTGCTTTCTTTCATGGCAAAATCAGATTATAGTTGGTCTCTTCATCACGCCGCCGATTTACATCCATTTATTTGTGGCGAAAATCTTCTTGAGGTCTTACCTAATTGCGGGGACAAAGTGAGCTTGATAAATTACAGCATATTGTTCATGTGATTTCGACTGGTCCTTGCCTCGTCATGGAATTTTTGCACATGGCATCTCCTAGTCCATCGATGCCGACCTCAGGGACAATTTATTCACAAGCTTCAATAAGATTTCCAAAAAATGATAAAGATTATTCTGGGTCTGGTGTGCTTATGAAGGCCGGAAGTTAGTAATCCCGTGCTAATTACTAGCATCTGTACTTAATTTCTGTTGCTCTTTGATCTGAGGCATTACTTTGGAGAGGATTTCTTAGACCGATTTCCCTAAGGGGGGGGGGGGCGACCGGTACGGATTCAGTCTCCCCTCCCTCCTCCGGGTAGAAAGGCATTTTGTGTATGAAAAATAAACCGTCGATCACTGCCTTCGATGCACAAAGATACAGAACCTGCCACAGATTTCATTTTGTTAGCCCAGTTCGACCAGTTTGCTGTCCAGTATGAAGTGAGACTGAACTTTAACATTATCTCGTGAACGTCACCGGAAGTGGAAGTTAGAACAAAGTCTCTCATGGAGTTGCGTCTCCATCTCGTCGGTTGTTTCTCAAACCCAGCGGGAGTGTGGGAGTCGGCATTGGCAACCTGCACATCTGGCTAGATGCGCCATACAATGAGAGCTCTGCACAGGAATTTCCAGTCACTGAAGATGGGTAACTGGACTCACTACTTGAAACTCCAGGACAAAACTGAAACCCTCCAAATGAACGCATCTCTTTATTTTGACGTGGCATCTGGTAATCGAATTTTCACTACTTGTGATATAACCGACCGTCTCTAAGTGAGATTCATAGGCGCCTTCATTGGCATCCTTGGCATCACTGATATTGTGATTAGTATTATCATTGCTAGTTCTTTAATACATGCTGGTGCAATAACGTGGATCGAGGCTTGTGTAGTCTCAATGCGGTCTCCAATGCGGAGGCCGAGACTGCTTGAACAGAAGTATGGAAGTGCCCGAGGGGCAGTTCTGCAAAGAGCTTGCCGTTATCTGCATGCCATCAAAAAGACTAACTCTTCTGGATGGGGGCAAGGTCCCTTACAGCCGGCTAGGGCTTTGGATGGCAAGTTAGTCCGAGACGACATTCCTTCTCAGAGTCTCAACCTATAGCTTGGACTACGACCCTCCATCAACGCAGCCCTTAACGGATCGCGCACATTTATTACCCTTCAAGGGCTGTTTGCCGGAAGGAAGACCGCTTACCTGTCGAAAAACTACAGTTTGTATGCCCTGTGAATAGCATCGGTACGTTGGGCAAGTCGACGAACACCTCGAAGATTGCGTACGCGTCCGGCATTTTGGTAAACACTCCCAAAGGCACAATCACCACCCTCCCCCAAGCCGAGGGAACGGCATAAAAACGGTTCGGGCTAAAGTGACGAGGAGATCTGATTGTGAAAATTCGAAGATATCCAAATGCCTGAAGTGCCTTTAACAGCAAGTTCAGCGTTCTTGGGTATGTCATTTCAGGATTAGATCGCTTGGCTAGCGCTGTAACTATGCATTTGTGATAAAGACTGCTGATATAGGGGGACGTAGTCACTATCAGCAGCTAGCGAGTCCCAAGACAATAAAATGTAGCACTGTTCGGACATTTTGCAGAGAAGAAAAAAGAAGACGAAAGTGTTGTTTTCAAGTTAAAGCAGGAGGAAACGTTTGTTCTTGTAACCCATCGGTTACGGATGTTAGGGCAACTTTAAAGGCTACGAAGCAGGCAATTGAGAAGTTATCGTTGCTCGCAGCGTCTCAGTATTGCATCACACACATACATACATGATTGGCCAAAAGGGTGCCATGCTATCTGGTTGTAAGATCGGGAGACATGGTAGACAAGGGACAAATAAACAGACTGGTTTACTGAACCGTGCTTCGAGATCTAGGCCTTCAGAACTTGCCTGCAGCGGGCTCAGTACCGGAGAATCCATCCCTACGACGTATGAGTGCACTCCACACCGCGGTAGACTTGACGAACATTCTACATACAGTGTCTTTGCTGGTTAACTTGGTCTTCGTGATCAGTACTGTGTGTATGCAGAGTGACTGACTGGGGGGCTGAGAGCCAGGCCCAATGGTTCCGTCCTAATGTGGCCTGACGTAGGACCCGAAGAACACTTACAGAATTGTGCCGCATGTGGTGGGAACCAGGTCGCGTGGGGCACGCGTAGAGGGGCTGTCTGGCTTTGTCAGCCCACTGCCCCCGAGTCCGCCTCTAGTCGACTTGCCATCGGGGCTTGGCGAGTGAGGGAAGATAGCGCACCGCAGACGCTGTGCAAGTCTGTAGCGGTCCGCGCCTCCTTGTTCTCCGCTGCTTTGTCACGCTGCCCTCCCGTCCGCCTCACACTCCCTGTCGATCCGCTGTTGGAACACGCGAGGCTTGTCACTAGCCTGGAGAGTGCTTGAGGCCAGTCAATCCTTCCCCTTCTCTGATTGGCTGGCGGACACTGAGACGAAGCGAAAGGCGTACACACGCTCTAGAGTCTAGGCACCTCAACGACGGACACAAACACAACTTGCCTGGAGAGGCCGCTCACGGAGACAGCTTGCAGAGTCCTTGTGTATACACATCCTTAGTAGTAAAAGTTTTCCATCTCAATCCGTCTTCCCTGACTTCTGATTTGCGAACCACTGTCTTGTCGACCATACCATACCGACAAGTCCGCCTCAGTATAAACTAATCCACGAACAAGTCGCTGATGCTGCGCCTGCTATGCGGGACATCAGAGCTCGCGACAGTCGGGACGCTATGAACTTTTTGTTCTGCCTGTACATGAGCTTGCGCTCGCGAAACTGACCTCATAGCTTGACTCTAAGGTGGAAGCAACTGCTAGGTGCCTTAGGTCATCTATTTCTACAGCTAGCTTACGCCCACGAGGTCGTGAACCGACATTTGTAGGCGCAAATCTAGAAAACTTGCACAGGAAGTATTAATATAGCAGCTGCCAAACTGCAGCAAATGAGAGCGACACACAAAGCCAGTTCACAGCCATCAGCTATTACGCAACGACTGATATATATGAAAGGGCGATTTGGTTGTATCACGAGAAGATAAGGGGAAGAAGTTGAATGAGAAAAGTCAGCTGCAGGAACATAAACCGGATTTACTCTTGCCTTCAATTCATCGTCACTGGCAACAAAAGATAAAAACAGCGAGCGCACACATAGTGCAGTATTTATAGAATACAGTAACCATTTCTCTTCCCAATTACTAAATGTAGCGTCGGTAGAGGGACGTTCATCGATCGTTTTACGGAATTCAGTTGTCCTGTTGCGCCCTGGGGCTCTCTCTGGACCCCAACCAGCAGCCGCACAGCGGCGCCTAATATGGGCAGAGAAACCTTACCAACAAAGACAAGGAAGAAATTAATGGCGATTTCTGATTAACTAGCCGTCGTCAGTTAGTCCTACCCAACCCCGAGGTGTGGAACACCCAGAACGGGACGAGTGGGTTCCGCAACAAGATCGGTGAGCGCCCCTCTACCAGTGAATATTCCTGATCGTAACCAACAGGACAACAAGCCCGTGGCTTAGTGGCTTGGGACGTTGGACTTATAACCAACAGGTCGCGGGATCGAGCCCCAGGTGTTCCCTTGTCTTCTTCGGTAATGTTACTCTGCCTAAATGTAACACCCCCCCCCCTACGTTCATTACCCACATTACAATTGTTAATGTCAATGTTCATCATGTGTGTGGGGGGGATGAGGGGCGAGTTAATTAGCCGGCCATTTGCCTTCCTAGTACTGCCACCGAAGGCATTGGTTACGCACACTCCCCTGTGACCAAGTGCTCAGTCCGAACAACGATCGAGTACTCGATAGGGAAAACAGGGATGGTTGAGGAGGCTAATGAACAACAGGCCAGTTTTCTGTGATTTCAGCAGCTTCTGACTCACACAGGTGTCAGCTCCAGAAGGATTTCGATCTCGTCGAACTTGAAGACGCGATCGGGTCCCATCGAATGAGCTGCAGCTCGAGAGTTGGCTTCTAGTCCTCTCATTGGTAATGCAATTTCCGACATCCGCGTCCGCAGAAATCTTCCCGTTTCTCCGTCACGGTCACGCTGCGCGCATCTGCCTGACTTCAGGCGTTTCTCGCAGCGACAGCGGGCTCCCAGCCTCAATACTTGACACCGGGCGACAACCTTTGACATTTGTTCAATCCCAGATATGAGTGGCGTGCGGAGGTTGTTGTCGGCTTCCGAGAGATTTATGACTCAGAAAAGCGCTTGTCAAGCTAATGGGCTTGTGCAGCTTACTATCTCATCTCGTCTTTGCATGCGTCATTTGAAGAAATCGCATGGATGACCCTCAAAGGAAACCATGATTCAGCAAGCTCGTCTCTCGATTCTCTGTCATGTCTCCCAACCTGCAGATATAGCACTCCTACGCAACTACTTTTTGTGGTTGATTGGGTGGTTGTTACTAAGCACCGGCACTTGCATCGTTTTCATCGACCTGCCGGAAACTTTGGTTTCTAAGTCACCACAATCTTTGTAACAGAAGCCAGGTGGTGCATGTCCTAAAGACATCCATGAGATGCTATTTAAATGTTAGTACCTGATCTCATTTGGTTACTATAAAGGTATAATTTACGTACCGAAAATAAAATTTTCTCCTGTAATGTTAAAAGACCAGTGACTACAATCGTCACAAGACCGCCTCGGCTGAGTTCAAAAATCGACGAAGCCTTCGGCTCGTCTCGGGGTTTTTTCCACCAAACATGCAGCACGTTTTGAGAAGGAATCTCAGGCGTTGAAGGACTGCGGCAGGTTCAAGACAATTTATCCATTGCATTGTATTTTCTTTGCGTGAGCAACTCAGCCGTTTCGAGTGCCGGATGCTGGGCAATAGAAGTAAAAGGGGAAAACGCTGTTGAACGACACTATGACCTCCTTCGTCAAGAGACTCACTCCTACTACTCCCTCCAAGAGTTGCGTTGACGAACTGACTGAATCAGCAGTCAAAGGAGGAAATGTCAAAACAGCAAATTTTTCTGCTCGTAAGTTGGAGTGAGTATGAGGGAGCACTATCTTCGTGCGCCTTCGGAAGGCTGTAAAATGAGGCTGACAACTTTTCTTACATTCGCACCACGAATACATGGACAGGCAATGTTGCAGCTGGATTCTCCATCTGTAACAACGTTGCGCAAGCTTCCACTGTCTGCGACTTTGCGGGGCTGAAGTCGCATGGGACATGGAACTGGTGATTCTCTGGCTGAATCTTGGCCTTCACTCGTAGTCTGCCTGTTGGAACGTCCGTTACTCCTAAGTATGATAATGAGGTCTTTTGTCGAATTTGAGTTCCCCCAGCACATCCCGTTCGACCATGTGAGTTACATAGCCTGGCGTATGAGCCACGAGGACAAACGGCACAGGGTGTGGGATACTACTGTTCCAGGCATCTGGCAAACTTTTGTTCCAGTGCTGCGTTGCTTATCGCCCTCCGTTCAGTGTCTGCCTAAACGCATGTTAGGACCGTTATCGCTCGTATTTATGTTAATCAATTTACTGTGCTTTTATATATTTATTTCGTTTTTAGGCAGCTTACAACGTTAACCATATTTGCCTTCGTTTAAATCGGTGTTATCCGCTACGCGCGTATGACTCAGCCTCCGGCTCAGCGACACCGTGAAACCGATCGATATTTTACATCATCGATCGGCCTGAGCCGGATAAAGCTCAGGCGTAGGTACGCACTTCGAGCCACGGCTCAGAGAACTGGCACACGACCAGTGAGGACAAGTGCGGCCATTACCTGCTGAGTTATACCTTGCATTTGTAAACAGCCGTTTACTGTTGTCCCGTCTTTAGGCATTTTACAGACTTGTGCTTAATGTATTTCATTTAAGTTGATGTTTTTTAACAGTTACGCTCGTCTGTCCTTGCGCTCGGCTCCTCGACGCCGTAATGCCAGTCGGAGATAGCTTAAGTGCCGGCATCTAATTCCTGCGGGGGGTTAATAGCCAAAAGGTGCTAGCACACAGCTGGTGAGAACGATTGCTGCCTTTAACTCCTGAGTCATCTGTACTATTTCTAGCCTCGGTTGTCCAAGTAACTCTTAGCCACTCGGAGAGCGGGCAGGCCGATGAGCCAGGTGGCCGAGCAATCACCACGCCAACATCCAACACGGGTGATGCAATTTCAGCAATTAACAACTTGCATGCCGACCATCAAGTAATTAGCGCACTAGCGGGCAAAAATCCTAGATGAAGTGTAGAGCGGTTAATTACCATAGGCATGCGGTTGTATAGGGACTGCATCCTGTAAATACTACAACTTCCTGTGCATGGAGTACCCGTACGTGATATTGTCTCTGATGATGGGTTCGAGTGTGAATCCGAAACGTCTGGTAAGTAAAGCTTTTGGAAGAATTTACTTAATTGGCTGGAGTAAATAACCGGTCAGTTTGTTGGTAGTCGGCACTTTCGCTCGAAACGAAGAAACTTCAGGACGCGATTTGAGGTTGAGAGTCCTTCTTTTGGTCAGCTGGCCAATGGCTGCCTCGTCACAGTAAGCATTTGAAGCATGTTGACACCGGCATGAATTTAAAACAGGCGTGAACAGCAGAAGTTGCTGGTACCAGTGGGTTTCGTGACAGCCTATCGACTGTTATCCGCTACCGAGTAGCAGATATAAGGACTAAAGAGCATACGGCAAGTTTAATTTTTACATAAAAATGAATGCGAAACGGCAAGGTCATAGTTCAATGAACACCACCAACCGGTAAAAAAGGGATGGCTTAAAAACACTATAGAGGAAGCAGGGGAGGGGGACTCAGCATGCAAATGGGATTGGGCTCGGTGACACCGTGACGCCGATCGATATTTTGTGTAATTATTGATCGGCACGAGCCGGACAGAGCTCAGGCATAGGTACACACTTCGAGCTGCGGCTGAGAGAGCTGGAACACGGCGGGTGAGGGTAACTGCTGACGCGTGTGCAATTTCTAGCCGCATTAAACACTGTCCAGATGAATCTGTCTTCCCTGATTTGGGAAACCTCGAAAGGCTAATCATTTCACCTCGACGGTTTCCTCCCGAGTGGGAAAATTTACTCAATCTGCGGAAGCAAGTAAGCGTTCAGTGTCACGGCAGTTGTCTCTTGGATTATTGTCGAAGAGACTTCAGGAATCAGCCAGTCAGTCAGTCAGTCAGTGTATTTGAGGGAAATAGGCTTACGCCTTTGAACTCCCTATTTGTACATAAAAAATCGATAAATTAGCAGAATGTGAAGAAATTACAGCAGTAAGTGTATGCAGGCATTAATTCACATATGACAATGGTCTCATAGCTAAAAAGTTACATAGTCCGCTTGGTGCTGTAGCATATGTCTGTCAAGTCTACATTTAAATGTCGCCACAGATTGAGACATGACAACCGTCTCGGGCAGATTATTCCACGGTTCCACGACACGGTTGGAACAGAAATATTTTCTCCCATGCAATCTACACTGTGGCACACGTAGCTTTAAGGGATGTCCCCGGAGGTTAGTTGATGTGGCGAGTTGGAAAAAGTCATCGCGCCGAAGGGCGCAGTCCAAGCCACGCACGATACGGAAAGTTTGTATCAAGTCTCCGTGCAACTACCTATAACTCAGAGGATAGAGATTAAAGTTAGTTTAGCGGATCTCGTATGGCAGTGCACTTTGACCTCTTACTAATTTTGTGGCTCGCCTCTGCACACTTTCGAGCAGATTGCAATCCTGATGTGTCCATGGTCTCCAGGCCTGAATTGCATATTCGAGGTGCAGCCTTACAAACGTGCCGAAGACATTGAAGAAGCAGTCTTCATCGAAAACTACGAATGCCCGCTTGATGGCATATAACATTGAAGTTGCGGCATTGGCCGCCCTACAACATTGCGTAAAAGGCTTAAGGCTGTCTGCAACCCAGACTCCAAGATCTTTCTGCGTTTCTGCTTCTTGAAGTGGTATTCCGTTCAGATGGTATTGTCGCGTACTAGGGGTCTGATTTCCGAGGCGCAGTATGGTAGATTTGTTCAAATTGAAGGACAAGAGCCATTTGCGGGACCACTCGTCCAATCGACAAAGATTTTCTTGGAAGTTGGTCTCATTGGTAGCATTCTGGATAACTTTCCAGATTTTTATGTCCTCCGCAAACATGGCATTATCACAGTCCAACCCATTTACACAATCATTGATGAACAAGAGAAAGAGGGTTGGTCCGAGCACCGAGCCTTGTGGGACTCCACTCTCTATGAATGTGCGCCTTGATTGCTGTCTTTCTACGCAGACAATTTGGGAACGGCCGACGAGGAAGTTCTCGATCCATTTGAGAAGTTTGCCGCCGATGCCCATTATTCTCAACTTGTGCAGGAGACCTTGGTGCCGGACACTGTCGAACGCCTTCCGGAAATCAATATAGGCCACATGCACAGGGTGTTTTGCATCTTAAAATGTTTAAAAGTCTTTCTTTTTGGTCAGCTCGTAAGTGATTAGGTCGGTAGGCAAAAAATTTATACTAGTATCGGGCTGTACCCCGACAGTCTCCTGGTGCAGTGAGATCTACTGGCTGTGGAGTTAATGCAAGCGAGACAAGCGGGCTGAAGTCACAAGCAAGCCACAGAAGGTGGTCACCTGCTGTCCATCTACTGCTCTCTGTATGCCTCCACCCCCTCCTCCTCCTCCTGCCCCGCCCCCTCCTCCTACATCGTCAGCCCGACAGTCAACGGGAACCAAATGTAAAGCCCTATAGGAGATGTAGAAGATGCAGATCTTATCTGCATCAGTGCCTGAGTACTTCCTTTTACAATTGCGATACTCCGGACGGTTTACCCATTCTTCAATCATGGGTGTTCAGTATTTTTGACTGAGATTTTTTCAACACTTGCAGAAACCACGCCCGTTAAAGATGTCGTCACATATTTCAGAAAACTTTCCCACTGACTTTCGATGGCCTTATTTTTCCTACTGTTTAAAAAAAACAAACGCAAAAGATA